AAAACACCCAGGGCGAACCGAGGGGCACCTTCTTGCGAAAGCGGAATATAGCGTTACCGTGTAGGCAGGGGAAGACGCCGAGACGTTCTCCCCAGCCGCCGGAAAGCGTAGCTGGCTAGGCCAGCATGCCCCCGAGCGACCGATCCAATTGCCCCCACTGAGTTTCCCAGGTCGCGGTCCGCGGCGCAAGGCTTAGGGCACAAGGCCACCCACCTGCGCTGCATGCGCTCCCCGAGTGGAGGTGGCCAGCGACTGATCATGCCCCAAAAAAGGGCAGCTATCGGACGTGACCAACCCCCGAGGGATCTGCTTGAGGGTGATAGCAAAGCTAATCGCCCGCAGACCCGCGTATTGGTGCCTACTGCCATAAGACTGCAGGACTTCAGTTCCCCCCGAAAGCCTAGGCAAGCGAGTGAATGGGAATAAGACTGCCCATGGCGGCGTGCTGGACAGAGTTGACATAACCAACCGCCACCTAGGATACAGGCTGTGCTAATATGGAACCAGGGGCCAAAAGGCTGTTCTTCGTGCGCCGCGCCCCCAGGGGGACTCACATGACGACGCGCGAAAAGGGCACCACCCAGGCCGACGACAAGCTATAAGCTACTACGCGACATGAGCGGCTGCGGCCATAGCTAGTAAGCAAATGAGCTGCTGCCCTTAGGAGGGGATACCACGAATGTGATCTGATTTTTTCTCCCTCTTATGTATCCTGGGGCCTCGTTTGGGTACGATGCGCCCGTCGCGCAGTGAGAGTATCGGAAACGCTTTTTTCGCCCACCGATTTACTAGCAAAACCGAATAGACATGCGCAGGCTCATACAAATGTAAAACGCCAAAGTGTCCTTCTGCAGGGACTTGGGCAAATTTTTGTCGCTCTATTAGGTGCGCGCCATGGTCGTTTGGCCCTATAGTATAGGTGAGGGGGGGGGGGGGGGGGGGGGGTCTAATAGGCCAAATATCAAGGTTGCGCTTGTGGTCTAGCGCACTAGCACAGCTTATAATAAGCTTTTTCTTAGCGTATTAGCTTATTCTTAGGCGTATATAAGTTGTAATAATAAAAATAATAATATAAATAAAAAATAATAATTTAAGATAAAAATTAAAATCTAAGTTTAGGTAAAGGAGAAAATAATAAAAATAGTAAAGCTAAGAGTGTAAGCGAACTTAAAACATTAGTAGTACTATAGTATCAACGTTCATAATAAGCTATACTACTACTATATTTTTATTTATAATAATAAAACCTCCTAGTTTTTTTGAGAAAAAAAAACAATATTAGTAAGTAACGAAACTTTGAATTGAATGTAAATAGTAAAAATATAAAAGTAAATACTGCTAAGGGTGATAAGGTGCTAAATAGTATAGTATAAAGTTACTATAAAATAAAAATAACTTATATAAAGAGGTAAAGAAAATATTATTAAACTTTCATACCCTTCTTCTCCTCCCCCCCTCTTTTCTAAACTAAAAAGGCTAGTTTTAAAAGGTGCAAATCTAAACTTATTCACAGTACGTATTTATAGTAAATTTGAAGCTGATTTTTATAGCGCTAATAGTGTTTTAGTACAGTAAGTAGTAAGTAGAATACACTTTAAAAACGTTGTAGAGCTTCTGTAGCCCCTAAGCTAAATTAGGCTAAATTTAAAAGTTAGCTATTAGAAACAGGTAAGAGTAGGAAATTTATAGCCCTAACTTCGCTGATTGCAACGGCATCATTAGCCTTTAGATAGGATGAAAATAGGGTAAGATATGGACCAAAACCCTTCTAGAGCTTGGCTAGCCCCTAGGCCAGATTGGGCCAAATTTGAAAGTTGGCTATTAGAACGAGGTTAGAGCGAGAATTTAAAGCCCTAACTGCGCTGATTTCAACGGCACCATCCGTTTTGGCATAGGGGGAATATTGGATAAGATACCGGCTAAAGCAGCTAGGAAGAATGGTAAATCTAGAGAAACATAAGCAGAGTAGGAAAAAGTAGGGACATACTGCTTAGGTAAGCGCCGGGCTGGGTTCTATATTCCCTACTTATAGCCTAAGAGTTTTGCCGCTAAGCTATAGCTTTAATACTTGGCTAGCAATTTGGCAAAACGTTTTTTTGGGCAGAAAGACCCCCCCGTTGACAGCCTAGACCCCCCCCTTTGGACCCCCCATTTGGGCGCTCCATGGGGGCTCTTCGGGGGGCTGCCCGCCTAACCCCCCTAAGTGGCCCCCCCAACCTGCGGGCGCTGATTTCCCAAGGTGACACAAAAACAAAGTGGCTATTATAACAAAGTTGGAGCGCTTATTTGTTGCGTTTTTCGCGCTGATTTCAGTTCTGCTGTCTGTTTTTGGCTATACCTAATAGTTGGCAAGTTATGAGCCAAAAACGTCCTAGAGCTTCTGTAGGCCTTAGGCCAGAATAGGCTAAATTTAAAAGTTGGCTATTAAAACAAAGTTAAAATAGGTTCTTGTAGCCCTAGCAGCGCCGATTCCAACGCCTCCATTAGTTGTAGGTTAGGG